TGTATTCCGCTGTACGATGAAGATGATGACTCGTTCTCATTATTTACAATTAAACACTGTTTAAATAAAGCAGAATTTAAATACACAGTCTCACTTAGTATTTGTGTATTGAAGAAATCTTAATCTTTTTGATGCCCTCAGCTGAACTATTGAACAGTGTACTCCGCAGGCAGCCCATTTTCGGTTTCAAATATCTTTTGATCCAAAAGCTGCTTACTCTGAGTTCGGACACCTTTCCTAACCCAGTTAGCGAATTTCAGTTTTCATATAGTCCTATTCATTCGCAATATAGAAGTGAACTGAGTATATATGGCGTCCATCATGATCCACCACGGTTTTGAGTATAATGGCTACACCAAAATAGAGCACGGTTGAACACTCGAACAATAGACCCTACACAGGCGATTTACTGTTTGCCCTCTCGCACAAAATCATGCAAAGGAAAACCAGAGAATTGTCCATTACTAGGTTTACGTAGTCCATTGCCTTTTGTGCCCAATTCCAAGATCCCTTTGTTTGTTGTGCAATCTGTTCGTGATTTTCTAGTGACAAATGTGTACCCTAGTGTCTGCATGCATCCAGTCGTCCATTCGTTCTTTTGTTTCCACTGCGTACAGAAACCGATCCATATAGTCAGCGTTGATCAACATTAGTGGCACCGATAGTAGTGATGGTCGTAGTAATATCATCATTCACTAACTAAGCTCAACACATGATGTAGTTGGACCCAGGTCGTATTTGCTGCGATGACCTTTGACCAGTGACTTGTCCGATTTCGTCGGTGCTCTGGCTACGATAACTGTGATTGTCGTTCATCCATTCGCACAGACACATCTATATGATATTCGGGATAACAGAGTCATGTGCCATCAAATGCGTCCCCAGGTCGCGGATAGGGGAAAGACCATCATATCGTGACTAACCGTGAATAAGTTGGACTTAGGCTCTCGGAATAAGCGGTCGCGGACGATCAGCGGCAGCGCTGGAGGATGTGGTGGGGTTACCTCTTGGCAAGTGTTCTCCATAGAAAACACCACAAATATCTGTGAACAGCACCGTGACGTGGTGAGTGTGGCCCATCACTTAATATGGCTATTGCCCCTTGTCGAGATCTATTACTCAACGAGGTTTTCCAGAAGAGGCGAATGAACCAAACACTTCTCACCAACTCATTTGGAACATCACTGTTGCCTTGAAGTCTGCTCTTGGTTGCCTGAAGTGCACCCTCGAACAAAGCCTTTTCCGGACCGGGCGACCGAGTAACACAACAGTTAGGCTGTTGTGTTACTCGGTCGCCCACACAACGATGAATTTATCCAGTATTACGTCTCTACATTATACAGTTTCTTTACTCAGCTATAAACATTCTACACCGTACGCACACTCACGTATTTCCAGCCCTTCCCCATTTCACTACATCTCCCTAACACACCACCTCTCTCATGTTCTTCAGACAATCGTGCTAACTCACAGTAGTACCTCAGATAGAAACTCTGTCTGCGCTCTCTTGTACCCTACCTTGACCACTGTCCAAGTCCTAACGAACCCTCCACTAGATCAAGCCTTTCTTTCAACTCGATGCCCATTCAAGCTAGCCACATTTAAAGTGTGCACTCTGATGCGTATAGGAGAATAGTCGTGTTTAGCTCTTACGATCGAGACCCTAGCCATAAATGTGTTGCATCCAAGAAACTCGCATTCAAGACTCAAGCTCCATTATCCAATTGACGTCCCAATCAAACCCGTCTGCAAATTCTCACTTGTGCTTATCTGGGTACCCTAAGGCTGCGGCTTCCGGTGTTGTTGGCATCGGTGTGGCTCATAGTGAAAGAGCTGAGGCCGCCCTCATGGATCGGATCCCAGTCGACAGTAGGTTGTGCACGGTGAAACTCAGAGGTTCATGCAAACTAAACAGCCGTCAGCACAATAGACGAAACTTGTTTGTCGTATCAGCGTACTTTCCAACGTACGGCAGCCCAGATGTAGTCAAAGACGAATTTTACCATAATCTGCAAGACCTCTTGCGTAAAGCCAACAGAGCAGGTATTGTGATTTTAGCAGGAGATATGAATGTTTGATTTAGCCCACTGTCTTCGAATGAAGCGTATCTGGAGGTCCGTTTGGACTGGATTCCTGTCATTCGGAAAATGAGAAACAGCTGTTTGTTCTCTGTTCCAACGAACGCCTATTCATCACCAGTACAAACTTCAGACATTCCAACTGCCGGTACGCCAGCTGGTGTCCGCCCTCCTTGAATCAGAAACGGACGCAGATCGATCACGTCTCTATAATCCGTAAATGACGGGGCTGCATACTAGTCTGCCAATTTTACTGGAGCATTACTCGTGAGTCCGGTCACGCATTAGTTTAGTTAGTAAGCAAAACGATCTGCGAAGCCAACCGCCCGTCCATTCATAACCAACAGCAATGTCTTGCACGCTGAGCGAAGTACATCGAGGCAAAAGTTAAGTTTAAGTGGCCACCAGCATCAGCTTCTCATTCAGCTATTCCAGCACGTATCTCATCGTCTATCTAAATCGACCACCGATGTCTCCGAAGCATTACTCGTGTCTGGTGGGAACATCGAGTGAGCAATGACGAGGTTCGTCGTCATGTGTCGGGTGTAGATAGCCGTTCTTTAACAGAAGTAATCGCTGTACATCGTCTCCGATGGCTTAGTGATGTATTGCGTGTTACTGCCCATCGGCTACCTTTCAGTACTCTGTTTGCACGTGTCGGTCAAGGCTGGAAGAAGCGCCGCGGTGGTCAAACCATGACATGGCGTAGAGGTATGGAGAAGCTGGCTTCAGCTTTGGCCTCGGTTGGTGCAGCCCGCCTTCCAGGTTGGGGCCCAAGGGATGAGGATTGTCGTTGGTTAGAGACGCTGAGAGATATGACCCAGAATAGAAGTCAATGATCTGAATACCGTACGGTCTGTCTGTTGAAAACTCATACCCCATAAAAAAGAATAATAAACTGAAACAGAAAAAATATCAAAAGTATAAGGTGAAATAAACAAAACAATTGTTATTCTCGTTATTTGACTTAAATTTTCGACCGTCTTTTATTCTGTCATATATCCGAACCGTTTTGTTATTTTTGCTGTTGCGCTGGCATCAAGCTTGCATATAGGCGGATGATTATGATTACGATAATTGCGATTGATCTAGCTGTGATATATATATATATATATATATATATCACATTGGTTTTAAGTCGACTGGACATCGAACATGTCACTCCACTCTTATGCTTACCAGCTAGATCAATCGCGATTATCGTTTGTGGGGCCAAGTTATCGTCCATAAACTGAAGTTTGTTCACATCAGGAAAGTAATCTTACGACCGCAAACCTGACCGGGACTTTGGTGACCACTGTTATCAAGATGACAGAGTGTGTATCAATAATAAAATATGTATCATCTTCAATCAAATCACATTTATCTCCGGGTGGCTAAACTAGCCTCTGATTAAACTCGAGTTCGAACCCGGTTTTGTGAAACCGTTAATCAGTACGGGCCGACGAAGAAATTCTCAAGTTTGTTTTGACCACATGCACAGTGATGAATGCCAACTTCGGCTTTTATATTAGATTCATCATCTTTTACCAAAGGCAAAATGTATTTCAGTCGATATTTCCGGAAAGAAAATTGGTTGTAACAATGAAGAGCAATTTCGAGGTAACCATGCTAAACTTACATTCGGTACGGGGTCATATCTATGATTAGAGAAATAGAGCGTCCTCGACAAACCGTGTACCTCTTGACCTCGGAGGGCCGACTTTGGAATAACGCAGAAACAATCCATGCATTTTCATGTATCTTTGTTGCATGTAGGCATTTGACATCTTGCAGTTCCCTTGAAATAACAACAAATATTTTGCCGAGTCCTGAGTTGCCATTGACTGATTAATCTTTTCTGCTTCTCTCTGACAGATAGGCATTCGAACATTATCCCGAAAAACGAGGACTTGGATGGACTACAGTGTGCGTGCCTTCTTCATAAAGATTATCCAATCAATGATCGGTGTCGCGT